CGAAACTGACCCGGCACTATTCGGGTTCAGGTCGACCCGACCAGTTTTTCAAACGGGTCAATTTTTTGGACCCGGACCCGACCCGACCTGCGGGATGCACGATGCAGCAGAAACGAGACGCCCGACGCAGCGGAAGCCGGCGGCAGCCGGACGCACGACGCAGAAGTGACGCGGGATGCCAGGACTCGCGCGACTGCGGGACGCAGAACTAACGCCAGAAACTACCCGGCGGCAGCAGTGGGCTGACGGCAGCGCCGCAGCGGGACGCGCGACGCAGTGGACTTGACGCGACGCTGACATGACCTCAGGATGCTACTCTACGCGACGGGGCGGGGTCATTCCGGGTCATTCCTGGGTTCCCGGTTCAACCCGAACCCGACCCGATTTTTCAAACGTGTCGGTTTTCCGGACCCGAACCCGACCCGCTTCGGATTCGGGTCAATCCAAACCCGAAATTTTCGGGTCGGGTCCAATATTGACAGCTCTACTTTTTTTATTATATTTAAAAACAGTGATTGATTATCGAGGTCGATTTTGCCCGAATCGAGCTAATTCGAGCTCGATCGCACTTGATTGATGCGATCGATCACCGTCAAACACAATTTGACTCAAATCGAGCCTCAATTTATTTAGATTGACAATTTAATTAAACTAAGCTCAATCTAATTAAATTAAAATCAAATTGATCGAATGATCCTAAATCGGTCCAAATCAAACCCAATTGAGCCTCGTCGAACCAAATTCGATACAATTCCGTGTCAATTCTAGTCTAATTTCATAAAATTCCGATTGGACCCAATCAGACCCAAATAGGATTAGGGCTCAATTCCATCCATAATTGTCAAATTTATGCTCATTTGACTTCCCAAATCAAGAAATCAAATGAACAGCTCAAATTTCCTATGGAATCCCGCCCTGTTTCCCGTTACTTCCCTTTGATTTGCGTGGCTACAGCAAAATCCACTAGAGAGCGAAAATCCCCTTGTTTGGCGTATAGAGGGAGCGGAAGACGAGAGAAGAGCCTCTTCGGCTTACGTGAATCGCAAGCGTAGAGCAAGAGAGGGAGATACAAAGGCCTCCCCGTACGGATTCCTTCGCGTGTCTCCCCGCGTGCGGTCCAGGTGAATCGAGTGGCCTAGCCGAACCAGAGAAGGTTGCGGCCGGTGGTTCGAAGCCTCTTGTGCATTCCAAAGGAGCCGAGCAAAGATTGAGACATCCATTTGCTTCCCTCCTCTAAGGTCAGTGAAGATAGCAGCTTCTTCTCCTTCTTCCTTCGACTCCGGCGAACTCGGGACAGCAAAGCCAGCATCTAAACGCTCCAAACAGCCAAGACAGTACTTGGGGACATCTTGACAGCAAATTCAAGCTTCTTCCTCTTCCATTCAGCTCAAACAGCGATATCAGCGAAGTGTCGGCGGCGAAACCAGCAGCTTAGATTTCTTGAGCAGCAGTTTTCTCCTCCATTCCTCCATTTTCTCGCCTTTTGACAAGGCGAGTGGATAGTAGCTACACCGTGACAACCCGGCGAGGTAAAACTCTTAAAACTTAGAAAGACCTAGGTCCCTAACCCTAAGCCAATGGTTGCATGTATGACGCTCCAAAGCCGTAGGTTCTTTAGAAAACCTCGCTTTTACTTTCCAAACCCAAAGAAAATCCTTTGTATGTCGCTGTCCACTCGTTTAAGTCATGGAAATCAGGTGAGATTTCATGATTTGCTCTCTATCTTGCATGCATTGGACTTGTGTTCAATGCACTCTATCTTGCATGCATTGCTTGGTTGGTTGGTGATCATTGGTGGGTTGAAAACTACTGATAAGTTAATCAGAAAGGGTATACATGCTGAAACATTCAGTCATTTATGCAACAATTCTAATGAAAACAATGCACATCTACTATTCATTGAATGTGATTACTCATTTAATATTATCACCCATTTTATACCTTGGGCTACTATTTTTTTACTGAGACCTAACGTCATTCAATTATTCCACTATATTTTGGACCTCCCCCACAATTTAGAATGTTTTACTGCTTACATGCTTGTTGTTGTATCTATTGCATTTGGCGGTCCATAAGCATTCTTGCTACTACTTGGCACGTAATAAGAAGAACTATTACGGCTGTATATCATAAAAAAAATTAATCTTGATCGAGCACGAATCTCGAGGCCAAATTAAGTTGAAAACTTTTAAAATTAAATTCAAAATCATTCGAACTCCAAAACAACACCAAATTCGATTCAATCCAAACCCAAACGGGTCCAAATCAAAGATGCAAAGCACCATTGGAAGGTTCAAACCATAAATTAGACGACTAAACGGTTTTCAAACGTGACATAGTTATAGTTGAATCGAGCGGCTCGACGAGACGAATCCAACAAGCCTAAGATCGTTGAATTATGATATCATTAAATCACTTAAATACTCAATAAATGATCCACGATCAAAGAAATCGATATCGACAGTCCATTCAAAACACTCACAACATGTTCTTAATCTCCTCCCTATTTATTGGCTATACCACTTTCAAAAAACTATAAATAGATCTCTCATTCTTCATTGAGGGGGAGGAGGAAACATGAGAGCAAGAAAGAGAAAAAAGAGAGGACAGGAAGTGAAATATGAGATCTCTCTTGTCACCAAACTCTTCTTCGACCACCGCTTGGTCACCGACTATCGCCGGACTTACTCCCGGCTACCGATTGTCACAGGACATTCGCCTGACTGCCAATTATTGTCAGATTTACGCCTGGACGCCGACCTTCACTAGTCTTTCGCCGAACTTTCGTCCGGCCACCAACTATTGTCGATTTTATGCCCGACCACCGACCATCATCGAAATTATAGTCAGCCACAAATTTATTATTGAACTTACGTCTGCCACCAATTCTTATCATATTTTCTCCCGACAACCGTCGCCCAATTACGATTTTTCCAACCTTTGTCGCTCGCTTGCTACGGTCCTTCTGACCTCTATTGCTAGACTACGATATTTCTGACTACCATCACTAGATTGATTACATTCCTTCTAATATTCGTCACCAGATTACGATCTTTCTGACGTTCGTTGCCCGCCGACTACAGTCCCCCCGACCTACATCACTTGATAACAGTCTTACTGACCTTCGTCAATCACTGATTATAGTCCTTCTGACCTCCATCACCTTAAAATGATCTTTCCGACTATCGTCACCCGACTATGGTCTTTCCGACCTCTGTCGTCCTTTGACTATGGTCCTGCCGACAAAACAAACATGTCAATACTGAATCTTCCAATTCTCACCATGTAATGCACTCTATATGATGTATATTGGCTATAGCGAGCCAAGGCCTTCCCCCTAAGAAATGACCTCATTTGTAATCAACTGCAAACATTAGTGGATTCATTTAAATTGGGCCAGACCCCGAGCTTTTCCCTTTTTCAGGATTTTCCATGTAAAAATCTTGGTATCTCTTATGAACACTATACCTCTACTCTTTTATCTATATGTTTGTTAGATCTTCATATAAAGCAAAGACACTGAAATTTATATATCTCTACCGCCACGAATATTCCAAGACACAACAATGGCCAATGTCTCTAACTCGAAGAACTTTGAAGAAATCCTGCGTCTGATCCAACAACTCTAGTTCACACCTATCTGATATGTTCTCCCTTATTCTGTGTTGCGCCATGGGGTTATTTTTTTGCACTAGGGCTCTACATTTATCCCGACGAGTGGCTGGATTTTCCTTCCTGTATCTTGCAGGCTACCTGGTTGTTATTCCTTTTATGCTAGATTGGACAATCTTTTTGAGGTTTTGCAAGAGGGTGATAAGAGCTTTGCACCCGCCATCATTATGCTCCCTTGGATGGCCACTCTCACAAGAGCTTTTATTTTGTACGGAGACCGGACGGGAGAACCATCTAGTTAAGCACTGAATACCTAGAGGTACCAAGCTGGGTACCCACCAATGGGGTGACGTGGCACATTTTTATTGATCTCCGGACGCCCTCCACACTCCACACAGAATAATTCTTCGGCAACCAGGGAGTGATCCGCGCTTGAGATGTTCAGATACTTCACCTAGCTATGGGTGATTTTGCACTTTCCAAGTCATGTCTTTTGTCTATGGAATATGTCTTATTTTGCTTTATTTTCTCTATTCCCCTCTTCTGTAATTCTCTAATGGGTTCTAATACCGTTTTGAGCCTACTTTTACATCATTATATCAATGAAATTGGGCTCAGCCTCTCATTTTCCAAAAAAAAAAAAAAAGGGTGGAGACAGAGGATGGCTATGCGAACTAGTTTCCCTACTGAATCTACAACGCTCTAATGGAGGAAGAAACGGAAAGCAGGCGCAACACACAAGAGCATAGAATAAAAAAATATAAACTAAATAATAAACTGTACATTTTTTAAAATATGATAAAAAAATAATATTAATCAGGCGAGTAAAAAAAAAATCATCGACTTCGAGAAGTAGCTGCCACAATTTCACCTATTCGAAAGCTAGGAGAACTGTACTCCACAAAAAAAAAAAAAAAAAAAAAAAAACAGCGTAATATTCCATGCAGTGCAACACAATTCTAGTAAGTAAAGTCGAAGCAAAAGAATGCGTACTTTCTAGACTGTACTGCGAGTAGTGCAGCTCGAACCCTTTCGGATCTGCACACTGCAGCAGCGGCCTCCTTCCCTCCTTAACGTACACCTCCACCGCCGTCCGGACCAAATCCATCACCGTGTTCTCCGGCGACATCACCACATGGATCGGACCCAAACTCCGCTCCAGCGTCACGTTCATCAAAAGCTTAGCCATCCTCCCGCTATCTCCACCCTCCGCCGCGCGCCACAACGGGACGTGACGGACGTCCGATCGCTTCTCCGGCCGTTGGATCGACGAAGATCCTGCACGGCCGAAGCTCACGGTGGTTCCAGAACCGCGCAGCTCCGGGACCGTTCCCGGAAGGATCTCGAGGTGGAGACGGCCAGATCGATCTTCGGGGATAGGGTTAGGTTTTCCGTGGCCGATCTGATGGTTGGCATAGTGAAGGACGGAGAAGGGTGGGCGAAGGTATAAAAAGGATGAGGAGTGGCCGAGAATCTGCAGCGGGCGTTCACCTGCACTCAGAGCTGGATGATATTGATGGCAAGGAAGGTTCCAGGAAGCCTCGGCTTTCGTCTTCGAGGTATCAAGAGCTGTTGGTGCGGATTCTTTCAGGTAAATTAACTAGCTCTAATTTTAAATGAATAGTGCTCACTGATAGGCGGGATGATTTAAGAAATAATTAAGCGTCACGTGAGTTCGCGGGCTGGGTCCCACTGCTCTTATACTAAGAAGAAAATAAGGCAGAGGAGAAATTATTGACAATAGGGGTGTAAGTGAGCCGTGAGCTGGCTCGAACTCGACTCGTTAACGAGCTCGCGAGCCGAGTTTATCGAGCTTCGAGTTCGAGCCTACAATCAAGCTCGAATGATAAACGAGCTCGAGTTTGAGCTCAACCTGACTTGACTCAAAATTTTATCAAGCTACTCGATATATATAATTATTTTTTTATAATATTTGAAAGCTTATTTTATAAAAAAAATCTATCCGCATCTACAATTTTTCAAACGAGCTCGAGCTTGCGAGTCAAGTTTGAGCTTGATATTTCCTAAACGAATCGAGCTCGAGCCCACTTACCGAGCTCGAGCTCATTAAGGATTAAACGAGCCAGGCTTGATAAGGTAAATACTCGACTCGTTTACACCCCTAATTGACATCGAATGAGCTAAATCATAGTGTGTCATGTCACCCGGCTCATAGGGGTACACAGCAAAAGGGTGGCATGATGCACTCTGATTATGTTTCGATTCGATGTTCGCACATAATAATTTCATGAGGCGGAGGGCCGCATTAATTATAATAAATTGATGCATTTGAAACTTGTTTAAATTTTGAAAATTTTAAATACATACAAATAAATTATAAGATAAATTTCAAATGCATCAAAATTTTACAGTATATTTATTTTACTTCAAATCAATTGTCAATGTTTTCAAAATTCTTGCATTTGAAATATTTCACAGTCACTTTGACTTTGCAGGCAACCAAACAACTTTTATATGGATCATACATTTTTTGTATCAATACAACGCGCTTAACTCAACCATTACTTGATTTCCCAAATAAGATTTTGTTTAACGCGAGATCAACTCGTTTAAACTTAACATGAATAATAACTATATCAATTTTTGACTCAAATTCAAAATTTGATTCAATAAGACCCCAACCTAAAATTTAATACCCAAAGGGAGTTTTCATATAAAATTATTGTAGAGTATTTTGTTAGATTTGTACTACTCATATTGAACTAATGACCAATATTTATAAAAAAGGTATTGTTGCGTCCTGGAGTATTCGTGGCGGTAGAGAAATATAAAGTTTAACGTATTTGTACGAAGATCCAGCACACAATAAGATAAGAGTGAGTGTGTAGCGTTCATAAGAGACACCAGAGTTTTTACGTGGAAACCCCTGAAAAGGGGGAAAAACTACGGGGCCTGGCCCAGTTTGAATGAATCAACTAGTATTTGCACTCGATTACAAATGAGGCCCTTCCTTGGGAGAAGGCATTGGATTGATGTAACAAATGTACATCATATAAAGTGCATTACACGGTGGGAGTTACATATACATGTTTGTTTGGTTGGAAGGGCAATAGTCGGCAAAAGACCGGGGTCAGAAAGATCGTTGTTTAGTGATGGAGGTCGGAAGAACCGTAGTAGGCGACGAAGGTCTGAAGGACCGTAGTTGGTAGGAGATAGGAGTCTGAAAGATTGTTGTTGGCATGAGACCGAGGTCTGAAAGACTGTTGTCTGGTGATGGAGATCGGAGTGACCATACTAGGCGACGGAGGTCGGGAGGACCGTAGTCGGTAGGAGACCGGGGTCAGAAAGACCGTTGTTTGTTGATGGAGGTCAGATGGACCATAGTAGGCGACGAAGGTCTGAAGGATCGTAGTCGGCAGGAGACTGGGGTCTGAAAGACCATTGTCTTGTGATGGAGGTCGGAGCGACCGTAGTAGGTGACGGAGGTCGGGAGGACCGTAGTCGGTAGGAGACTGAGGTCAGAAAGACCGTTGTCCTGTGATGGAGGTCGGAGTGACCTTAGTAGGCGACGGAGGTCGTGAGGACCGTAGTCGACAGGAGACCAGGGTCTGAAAGAAATCGCTTGGTAACCCAAATTGTGGTTCAAACCTTCCAACAGCGCTTCGGGTCATTGATTTGAACATTTGGGCTCGGATTGAGTCGAATTTGGTGTCGTTGGGTTCGTATTTCCGAGACGCTCAGTTCGACTGTAAGTTTGCTGAAATCGGAGTTCGAATGGTCTCCGAATTAATTTTTGAAGTTTCCAACTTGATTTTGCATTGAGATTCGCGCCCGTTTAAGATAATTTTTTGATGACATATCAGGAATAATTACATATTTATTGCTAGTCATATTAGGGATGAGATATACTTGTAACCATCAATTAATTAAGGATAACTTCGGGTGAGTGTTAAATTAAGAGAGAATATATTTGACGAGTTCTTCGAACGAGAACCCCTTGTCAAATGATGGAGTCTCTCAACGAGTTCTCTTTGGAGAATAACCTCGACTAGTGGGCGGCAAATTCAATGGCTTAGCATTAAAGGTCCTTTGTTGAGTTCCCTATAAGTTTTATTTGCATCGTTATGTTATTATTGTTCTTTGAATAATAAAATTTCTTTGATTATAATCCTTATGTTATCATTGACAATCCACCTTTCATCCATTATTTTATTTTATTTTTATTTTTTTTATCTTTGAAATTTGTTATGTTTGTCGGCACACCTAATTTAGACTTCGTTTGGGACGACTTTCTTTCTACTTCTTAATTTTTGTATTAAAAATTATTTTAAGAAGCATAAAAAAAGTTGCTCCAAACGAAGCCTTAATCTTGATGATTTTAATCATAAAAATAGATTTTTCTTAAGTGCTATCTCAATAAAATACATAAAATTTTAGACTTTAACGTTGATATCTATAAATTTGAGATTTTTTTATTTATTTTTAGCATTATATTATTAAGTTAGAGCTTTAATCAATGTACTCATGGCCTATAATTGCTTCAAAGTTTATTATTTTGTGAGTATAAAGAAATCCAAATGTGTTTAAGGCATCATCGAACGGGCAACTACAAGTCTACAAGTAGAGAGGCACCAACCATTCTCTTTCGTCAAATTGCCGCGTGGAACTCGAACGCCCGAACAGGGATAGATACGCGCAGAGGGAGGGAGAGAGAGAGAACTTGAGGATGACGTCGAAAGGGTTATTCTGCTTCGCTTGCATCGGACAAGCGACTGTGGGTGTGGTGGAGCAGTGGGGGCGGTTCCAGCGAATCGCCGGCCCGGGCTTCCACTTTTTAAACCCATTCGCCGGAGAGTGCCTTGCCGGCGTCCTATCTACACGTGTATTTTCTTTGGAAGTTCGCATCGAGACTAAGACCAAGGTCCGCCCATCTAGCCGCACAATTCACCCGTTTCAAATCTTGAAATTGTCTCTGAATCGGAAAACCTTAACGCCGATTACAGTTTTTGTCGAAAGCTCCCATTTTTCAACATATAGGGTTTAACGTTTGTTTATTTTCTCATTTCTTTGTGATAATTCGGTTAGAGCCTTTTGATCTTTTGTTAGGAGCAATTTTCGTTGATGCAAGTCGGTAATCTAATCTATGTCTCCACTCTTTGTTGATATGTGGTCAACTTTGAATCTTCGCTCTTTATATATGTCTAAGTTGTCAAAAGTTATGCTTTGAGGGCATAATCCGAAATTAACTTTGATTCAATCTCTGCAGGACAATGTTTTTGTGCAATTACTTTGTTCTATTCAGTATCGAGTTATCAAGGAAAACGCTGATGATGCATTCTATGAGTTGCAAAATCCCCAGGAACAGATTCGAGCTTATGTTTTTGATGGTAACACCATTTCTTAAATTAGTTTGAAGCGTAATTTGGTTGCTTTTGGTCGAAAACATGTTTAAGAAAATGTTGATTTCGCTTTCCTGTCCTTTTATGTGTGAAAATGAAATCATTGTATTTGAGAGGATTTCTGCAGCTAAATAATAATAATAATTGCTAACTACATCCAATCAAATAATTGTTCTTCTTGTATTTGAGAGGATTTCTGTCAAATTTCATGATTTTTTTTTTGTTCTTCAATAAACGAAATGGACCCTCATATGAGTTCATATTTCATAATTGTGTGCCTCTTCTAAGTTTTAAATGACGTTGTTCCCCTTATTTCCAATTGCAGTGGTTCGGGCCCATGTCCCGAGAATGACTCTTGATGATCTCTTTGAACAAAAGGGTGAAGTGGCAAAGGCTGTACTGGATGAACTTGAAAAGGTAGCTTAAATCTGCTCTGTGCATTTGTCTCCGGACATCATGGATTTTGTAATTGAATCTTCTTATCTTTTTAGTTAGTTTAGGGTATATGAATAATTTTCAATGTCTTAGAAACTAAATATCATTCAACAACTGAAACTTTTCAGCAATTTCTTTACTTGCTTGGCAATGAAAAAATCGTTTCTTTTATTTTGACTGGGTATATCTGAGGTCATAAAATTGGTCTTCTTGTTATTTGACTACTGTATTTCTTTCCATATCAGCAATATCAATTCTCACCTTCGTTTTCTTAATAAAATCAGTAAATTAGTTTATTTTTCTGGTTTTTAAGCTGTGTTTTTGTGCAGAACATGGGTTTAAACTATATATTTCCTGTAAACAAGTTTGCATATGTGCAAAATTTCCCTTTCTGTTTAATTTGTAGATTTACATGCAATCTTCACACCTTATTTCATGCTTGAATTTAACTTGATCATGACATTTGGCAACCTATATTCCAATTTGAATGTTCTTTGTTCTGTGAAATATAATAATTGCTTATGTCTTGGGCTGGTACTGGGCCGATTTCAAGAAAACTTGCTTAAACTCGAAATTGGTTTAGAGTTGAGCAAACTTTGCAAGTCCTGAAAAAAATGATTGATTCCTGGTCTATTTTTGTTGATTGGCCCAAGTATTTTTAAAAATTGTTCTAAACATTTGATAGGAAATACTTGATTTCAAGTATTCTCTAATCACTTTAGCAACAAATCTCAAAGCGAGCTGCTGTCCACAGCAGGAAATCAGCCAAAAACAGTAGAAAAATAGAGAAAAACTGCAGAAGATGAGGAGAAAACGCTTGTATTTTACTAGTAGACAATGAAAATAGCAAAGATACAATTTGTTCTTCAATTCGAGAGGAAGAATGTACTCTCCAAAGTCTCCGGCGAAGCCAAGAGCCCAAAACAAAACCTAGATCTCAAAGAGAAAACTCAAATTCAAGATTGCATGTAAATGTTTATGCTTACATGTTTTGAGTCAATTTCGTGTTGAATCAATTTGATACTGAACAAGCCATCCTTGAGTTGGAAGTAAATTTATTTTGATTTTAACTCAATTAAGATTCGGGTGATCATCAAATTTGAGTTTTGAATAAGTTATCATCCTTATCTTTATCATGCATTGTAATTTATATTAACCTGTTCCTGAAAATAACTGACCAGGTAATGGGAGCTTATGGATATAATATTGAGCAGATTCTTATGGTTGACATTATACCTGATTCTTTTGTGCGTAAAGCAATGAATGAGATAAATGCAGGTTTGTATCTTCAGTTTTTGATGGTTTATGTACTTGTTCTTTTTGGGTTTGCTACCTGTTTTTATTGTTGTTAACATATTGTTTGTTTCTTAGCTGTTATTTGTTTTTATATTCATTCTACCTGATATTCAAGCGCAATTCAGTAGCTTTTACTCATTCGTCATATTTATATTTGGATTAGTGTAGGTAACCTTTTGATAAAGTTATGCTCGGTGATTATTATTGATGAATAATAGATTTTGCATTTATCCCAAGAACAAAATATATAATTGTTGAGTTTCAAGAAATATTCAGTGTAATTCTGTAGCTTTAAGAGATATAAATTCTCAAGTTTTTGGGTGTCCTTTGTCTGTTGCTTTAGATATGTCAGGTGCATGTTTCAGATATTAGTTAAATTTGCTCATATTTTTTGTGGAGTAGCAATTGAAATTTTAAAACACATTGATCTATATCATTTAGAAGTTGCATTTGATGAATTAGAAAGCTTTTCTGGTTCTGAAAATATTTAGCTCATATTGAAATATAACAGCTCAGGTCTCTCATTTTTGCTAATTAGCTGTTATATTATACCTTAACTTACGATGTCATTGTTTATTGAACCTCCGTTGTCTTTCAACCTAAAGAGTGTATGCAACTAGATTATGAGGAGCACTTATTTGTGAGAATGTATGCATGTTTTTTGTTTGCTAGTCAAAATAATTAAGTACTTGTAATTTTTGAACGTGTCATTAGGGTTCAAATTTATTTGAGTTGATTTGACCTATCATTAAAGAGTAAATGGGATCATCAAGGGTGGCATTATTATCATGTCTAAATTGTTACATGGACTAAATATTTATAATAGAAATTGATACTATTTATTATTATAATATTTTATCATTATTGAGGATAATCAATTTTTCTATTTTCTCTTTTAGCCTATATATAGTCACATATATGCTTGCATTGGAAGACAATTCAGTAAATATGTAATCCTTTCAATTCTCACTCCATTCTAACTTGGTATCTGAGCAAAAATATCTCTCGGATCATCTTTTCCCCTCAAATTCCCCGCTTTTCAATGATCGTTGATCTATCTCACACATGCTTGTCACCACCTCATGTGCCATGCCTTCTACTTATATCTCTTACACACGAGTATTTGATCCCTTGCTTATTGAGTAAAGATCCATTCATTCCTTATTTGTATGTTACAACCATTGTTAACCACACAAATATAACATGCAATTGTTCCTGTATCTGCAGTTGAGATCTTTCAAACTTGTGATTATGGCTTCATTTGGGATGACTTTCTTACTGTTTTTTAAAGCATTTTTTAAGTATAAAAAATTTAATTTTTGTATTAAAAAACTGCTTTAAGAAGCGGCAAGAAAGCCGTCCCAAACGAAACCTATACCATCTCCCGCTTGAGTTATGTTATATGTCACACATTCTTCCTGCTAGCATTGCTTGCTTGTGATCCTTCTCCTGTTTTTGCTGTCGACTCTAATTATTACTAGTTTGCAGTAGTGCACCAGACATCAAACTTGCCAATCCTCAGGCTCACTTTCTGATCTCTTTGGTTGCTGTCTGCATTGCAAAGCTTGGCAGATTTGCTCCTTTAGTTTCACTTAGCATGGCATTATTTCCCCTTGGTACTGTCATCTAAGTATTCATGATCACCTTACTTTTGCCCTAGGCCTCGCCTACCTGCAATCTATTGTCTTCGTTAACACCTTTCATTGAGTTCCAGGCGACCTCCTCACTGCATGTTTTCCCAATCCCTAGGGTAATTCGATCAATAACCACTGGCTGATTCTATAATCTATAACATCCATTGTATTAAGATCTCAACGAAACCATACATCCTCCTTGCAAACGAGCACATTACGACCTTTTGTTGTATTACATAATATATTTTCCAATATATCTTCTCTTTCCATATTGACACTGCTGCATTAATTGTTCCTTGTTTTCATTTCAATCCGTTTAACAACTTTTGTCCTTACTACATTTACCTCTTTGTCAACGCTCTTTATCTGTATTCTTCATCAAAATTTTTTGGTTGATGCATTTCAGTTGACATTTTTATGGATACTCTTCATCGACGCACTTTGTTGATAATGTCTTCATCACTCTATTTTGATACTTTTGTTTGATGATCTTATATATGACGTCATCACTCTTTCTCTGACACAGATTTCATTGCTAACTCTGTTTGTCTCATTCACATTTCTATTTTTCGCATATTACTTGTGCTTCTAAGTGATTCTCATAACTATGGCTAACAAAACCTTCAACTAATTCATCTCTAATTATTACTAGTTTCAAACTAAAGTTGGCTTCTTCCATGCCACCTTAAGTTTATAGGGGATTGCTATCATATCTAAATAAATTATCACACATGCTAACTATTTATAATATGAACAAGTATTATTTATTTTATAATATTTTTCTTTTTGGTGGATATTTTCGTTTATTGCTCACCTCTCAAGCCTGAGTGCAGACAGATATATGCCTTTCCTAGAAAGGCAACTCATTAAAGATGCAGTCCTATATAATTTTCTGTCATCTAACAGGAATATTATAGCTCAACAATTGCATTGGATGAGTTTTTGTTTTCTAGATGATTTTCTTAGTAAATATTTCTATATGATGGTGTTTGAGATTTGTTGTCTTCTTTTATGTATCATTTTATTGAAGTGGATTTAACTGAGCTGAGTTGTTGCAGTTACCTTTAACCTGTCATTAATTAGATCAAATTAGGACTATTGTTTTGTTTGGTTTGATGCCCTTGGAACTCTTTAACAAAGCTCAGGATGGTAGTTTTGAGCCATGGCATGAACCAATGTGTAATGGACCTTGTCAGTGTTAGTTTAGTTCTGACCAACTGTGGAGGGGTTTCTTCCCCAACAAAATAATCGCTTTTGCCCATTCATCTTCTCTTTCGTTGATGAAACTTCCATGACTTTTCAATGATTAGTATCTCCTCAATCAACTTGATATTACGGCTTTGTTTCCTCTTCCATATCAGTAATTTGATGCTCCTCGTTTATCATCTTCTCAAAATTAACCCTCGTTGCCCTCTCACACGCACACAAATGCTTGTTGTAAGAACCAGATCATTATTTATTATATTGGCTTCTGTAACAACATCACCATCATCATTGTAGTTTATTGTTATCCATTTACTGGGCACTGGGAAATCATTGAATAGAGACTTACCAAATGATAATGAAAAACGTTCTGCTGATGCTTTGATTCAATGGGAACTAATGAATCTATGGTTTAGGTGATCAAATTCGTTCCTGTTTCTGCTATATTTGTATTTATATTAGTCCTAAATTGGAGATTGCAGATTGTTGTACTTCTGATACCTTGATTTATTGTACAGAGAAGAATCCAATATTAGAGGTATGAAGCCTCGGAGGAAGTATGCAGGGTGTTAAGAGAAATTAATCATGATGAAAGCCTTATGATTAGGAGGAACAACAATTAGGAGAAGATAATGCCAAAGCAAAAAAAAAAAGATATAGAGCAAAGAAAAAGCTTCATATATAGATGATTTATATGAAGGTATATTGCTAAGTCGAAAATGAGATTTTAAAATAGCTAAGGAAAAGATAAGTGATTTATGGATTTTAATCGATAAGTGATTTATGGATTTTAATCAAGTTAAATATACTATAATTGAGAATAATATGATCTTTGCTGAATATTAAGGCATCAAGAAAAGATATAATGCTACTTTAATAAATTATTAAATGAGAAAATTAAGGATGAAACTATTTGAAAATATCATTTTGATTACAATAATAAGATATAATATAAAGTAATCCTAAAAAGTGAAGTAGAGTTAGCAAGGACGAAGACTTCTGTAGATACATTATACAGCTATTGGTCCATATGTAATACTTATTTAAATTTTTTATAGATGACAATTTTAAGTGTTGGAAAATTTGTTAAAATATGCTGAAAGTTAAAATAAGGAAGAAAATACTTTAAGTAGCGGACTTAAAATTTGAAAAACTAAGATTGAATATATAGCATGCTTATATAGAACATTCAAAGTGAATTTACTTTGTGTATTCTTTTCCCATATGCCTAAGCTACTTGTTGATACACCAGCTAAAATAAATGAAAAGCTAGAACTAAAGAGAAAATATTTAAGGAGATATTGAGGTTAAAATTAGCAGAACAAATACTAAATATATGATAAACAATTTTAGTGTGAGTAATTGGAACAATTATGATTTCATGTCTGTTAGAAGATAAAGTAATACTATGGTGTAGTATGTTAAAGTATTTTAGATTCATTATACAACAAAAGATATAACTTTTGGAGTTAAGACTACATTATTGGAATTAAACTATGCCTTAAGGAATTTTTAGTTAAATTTTATAAAATTACTGCTATATTCGATTTGATGTGTGGATTCAAGTGTTGGATGGTAAAAAATTGACCATAGTTAAATTTAGTGCGATAAAAAATTGAATATTAGGATAAATGTGTTATAAAGTAGGAATGATTATATTAGATAAACAATTTGAGTGATATATAATGAAGATAAACTAGTTGAAAATATACTTAAATGGTATGGACATGTACTATAAAGGATAAAAATGCACACATTAGACTGATAATTAAAATTAATTTTGTTGGATCAGGAAGAAAAATGGGCATACTTCAAGTAATATGGATATAAGTTTGTCAAAATAATTTGCCAAAAAAAAAACTCAGGAAGCACTTAACAATAAATTATGAAAAATTATGATTCATAAAGTCAACCTAAAATAATTTGGATAAGGCTAATGATGATGATAAAAACCAATTTTTAATTCATTAGTCAGTCATCTCCAATTATAACCTAATTCTTACTATAAATAATATTAACCATAAATTTATGGGCATTTTAACTATTAACTTGAAATAGTAAATGAACATTTTATTTTTGAGAATTGAAAAAATGATAAATCAAGAGAAATGCTATAAAATAACGGACTAAATGACTATTGACATAAAAAAGACTCAAAACTGATTAGTGGAGGTAGGCGTCTTCGACTACATTAAGTATTTGACTTAGGTATTTTGGTTGCTTCAAAGGAGATGGCATAATTGTAACATCTATTCAAATTCGGTTTCAAACATAGCAACCCATCAATCAGAGCCTAATTAGTAAGAAACGGAAGACCACCATGCCTCACAGTCCATTAAGAAACTCTATCAAGTCCCATTAAAAAGAAACCAGTAACAGATTTATCCAATCAAGCAGCCTATTGATTTTTCCAAAAGTGCTGAGTTATGCTAACACAGATCCAAATTCCAATCAAACCAACACAGATATTGGAGAGTACAATCCATTCTTTATAGGGATTGTTCATGCGCATGATTTCTATTTTTGGTTATTGTAATTTTTTTTCAGATTTTCATCTAAAGACAGGAAAACTTTTAAGATAGAAAATTGAAGATACCAAATCTTTAAATTTGACACAGTAAAATTTAGATATCAATTGAGACAAAGCTGAGCTAAGTACATCATGGTTTGGATCGGTTCGAGCTCAAGCTGATCTTTCGCATATATGTTTATACTTGACTTGCTTAAATTAATTGAACGAGTACTTAAATGAGCTAATATGCAAGCTAAAATTTCAAATGAGCACTTGAACTCTCATTTTTTCAAGATCACAACTTATTACTGCAGCTCAGAGGCTTCAACTTGCAAGTATTTACAAAGGTGAGGCAGAGAAAACTATCCTGGTGAAGAAAGCTGAAGCAGAGGCTGAGGCCAAGTATCTGGGTGGTGTTGGTATTGCCAAGCAGCGTCAAGCAATAACAGAAGGTTTGAGAGCGAACATCCTTAATATCTCCAATAGCGTCTCTGGCACCTCGGCCAAGGAAGTGATGGATCTCATTATGGTGACCCAATACTTCGACACCATCAAGGAACTTGGGAATTCGTCGAAGAATACAACTGTGTTTCTGCCTCATGGCCCCGGCCATGTAAAAGATATAAGTGACCAGATACGCAATGGAACCATGGAAGCATCCTGCAGCAACTTAGGCCATTGATGCCTTGATATTGTTGCTCTTAGCTAAACCTTACATTAAACAAGTTGAAGTTTTTTTTTTTCTCTACAGTGTGATAAAGGCTTGATGGTGATGTTGTTGTTCATTTCTGGAATCCACTTATCCTTTATGTTTGTCATAATTTCATCAATTTTTAATTTTTGTACTAAAAAATTGCTTTAAGAAGTAGTAAGAAAGCCATCCCAGACAAAGCTTGAGTGATTCAGGCAATTTGGGTATGCCATGAGTGTTAAGCTGGCGACTAGTATGATTAAGGCTTCGTTCGGGATGATTTTTTTACTGCTTTTTGAAGCAGTTTTTAGTACAAAAATTAAAAATTTTTATTAAAAAACTGTTTTAAAAAATAGTAAGAAAACCGTCCCAAATGAAACGAAGCCTAAGTTTAAAAGTATGCTGACTCACAATGCCACCATATAGTTGATTGGGCTCTAGTGTGTATGATACTTGATGACATTTCATTTAAGGGGGTTCAGGGGTTGTAGTGGCCGATGTTGAGCGATAGCTTTGATTTTAATCCTATATTAGATGGTTAAAATATATATTAATATAAAAATATCACCTTGTTTAAAATTACTCATACGCTTGAGTTTTTGGATGGAAAATAAATTTAATCATTAGTGTAGCTAACTCCACTTAGATCCTCTTTTTGATTCATTATCAAAAAAAACCCTTGCACTAAGGTTTCATTTGAGACGACTTTCTTATTGCTTCTTAAAATAGTTTTTTTTTTTTAGTAGAAAGCAGCTTTAAGAAGCAGTGAAAAAGTCATCCCAAATGAAGTCGAAGTTAACTATGTACGACGTTTGTTTGGAACGACTTTATTTCTGTTTTTTAAAGCAGCTTTTCATTATAATTTTTTTTAATTTTGTATTAAAAAACAGATTTAAGAATTAGAAAGAAAGCCGTCCCATACAGTGGTTAGATTTGGTATCTTATTAGAGGACCCCAACACCCTCTCCACAAACCCCCCGTATAAAAGTGCAGCATCCAGCTGACTTCACAGAGCATTCTCACACTACAATAATCTGTTCAAGTCAGACATCCTTTTGATCGAATCAATGACGAACCATTCAGCATAATAATTTTTAATACCAATATGTCTTTCATCCTACTCATTGTCATCTCCTATCTAACATATTTTTTCATGAATTTCAACGTAATCATAGATTAAAGATTCATTTTGGATGGCTTTTTTATTGCTTCTTAAAGCAGTTATTTAGCAAAAAAAATTATTTTTTTTACTAAAAAATTGCTTTAGGAACAGTAAGAAAGCTTCGTGATTCATTCAATATGACTTTTTTTTGGCTTCCTAAGGCGATTTTATAATATAAAAATTTTAATTTTTGTATTAAAAAGTTGTTGTACTAAGCAAGAAAAAGCAATCCCAAATGCTTAAATGAAGCATGAGATTCTATTTTGGACCGCTTTCTTATTACTTCTTAAAAAAAAAATTAGAATAAATTTTTTTAATTTAAATTTTTTTTTATTAAAAAGTTGAATTAGAAAGCAATAAAAAAGTTGTTTCAAATGAAATCTAAATTTTAATAAAAGGCATTATGTGACTCATCGTTTTCTTTATTTTATGGAAGGTGTTGAACGAAGACAAACTACTCCTCACATAACCTAACAACTACAAACTTAAGTTGTGCTGAAAGTCAAATCATTTTACCGTTGGTTGGATCTAACCTCTTCATTAAAAATTATATATATATATATATAATCGACGTTATATAACTGCAAAAATACTATTAATTTAAATTTAATTAACTTAATTGAGTATTAAATATGTAGTTGATAAGCTCATAACAAAAAGGTTTTTTCTAATTAAAGCCCCTCTTTCTAAGTTATCATTATAGTTAACAAGTTAATTAACAACTTCTGGGTTATTTTATGTTTTAATTTTTAAGCTCGTATTTAAGCTTTGTTTGGAACAGCTTTCATACTGCTTTTTAAAATAACTTTTTACTACAAAATTTTAAATTAAAAAAAAATTGTACTAAAAAGTTGTTTTTAGAAATCAAGAAGAAAGTTGTCTCAAACGAAGCCTTAATTAGCCATTTCAAAGGATAATTAACATTTTAAGTATTTCATTATTAATGATTAATAGTTGAACGCACATAAAACTTTAATAATTTAAATTAAACATTTTAAAGTAAATCTAAATAATTAGCTTGAAAAGTTACTTGAACCAATTATGGAATGGATTAATCAATGAATTAAATATCCCTACACAATTCTTAAAATCAGCACTATTTGCAAAAAAAAATTAATTATGCGTGGAAGATTATTTACATAAGTCACGAATTTATACTATATGCTATGTAATTTAACATCTATATGTAATTTATCATCTACTATTTTAAAAATACTAATAAAAATATTAAAATTTTAATTAAACTTTAATTAATTTTTAAATAATCTTAAATTTCATTTGGAACATCTTTCCTACTGCTTTATAATACAAACTAAGGGGCTGTTTGGCACCAAGTGGGATTTAGTAAATCATGTAAATCCGGATTTAGTAAATCCGAAATGTGTTAAATCCTGAAAACTGTTTGGTATGCCAAAGGGCCAATTTTAGAAAGAAGCAAGGTATTTGTTAAAATTAGTTTAAGAAGCATATTTAAAAGAAAATTTTAAAAGGAGCAAAATAGCTAAATCAATTGGCGTATTCTATGTATTCAGTAAAAAAAAAATAATTGGCATGGAGAGAGAGAATGTGAAAGAGTGAGAGAGAGAGAAATAAGTAGGCGGAGAGAGAAAAGGGGGAGAGAGAAGGCCACATCATGAAAAAACAAGAGAGAAAGATAGATGAAAGATATATATATAATATTATGTAAATTTTATTTTTAAAATTAGTAATTTAATTTATTAAATAATTATTTATAAATACTTTTTAATTAAAATAAATAAGTATAAAATTAGTTTTTAATTAATTTTTTAGGCCATTTAAAATATAAATGTAATGAAAATGAAAATAATATTTCATTACATTTTTATTCTATTTTTATAAAAATTTTAAAGCTTTTGTAATAAATTAAATTAGTAATATTAAAAATTCATTAGAATATATTTTATTAAATTATTTATATTAAAAATAATATTTCATTATATTTTTAATTTTTATCAATATTTTATTAGAATGAAAATTTAAAAGATTTTGTAATAAATTAAATTGCTTAAGTAGATGTAATAGGGATGAATTTTTTCATCCTAATAAAAATTTGATTAAAATACGTTGAAAATATAATGAAAAAGTTAATTAAAAATATATTGTTTATTCTTGTTTAGTTTAATAAAAATGTTTTTATAAATAATTATTTAACAAATTAAATTGCTAATATTAAAAATAATATTTATATAATATTTACATATATATAAAATACTTCACCCATCCCTCTCCTATATTATTCTTTCAATACCGTACCCTCTCTCTCCAACTTTTCTCTCTCCTACTCTCTCTCTCTCCAACTTTTCTCTCTCCTACTCTCTCTCTCCAACTTTTCACAATGCGCCAAATGAATTGGCTCATTTGCTTCTTTTTAATTTTTTTTTTTAAATATGCTCCTTAAGCTAATTTTAATAAATAGTATGCTTTTATCTAAAATTTGGCCAAAAATTCTCTCACTAATACAACATGCTTAATTTTCTCAGTAGCTCAATTGGAAGATGAACGAATGATCCAATTTTTCTTTATCCAAACTTCCTTCCAACAAATCTAATTCTTAACTTAATATAAAAAACATTATCAAGCACACAACGTATTTGACCCCAAACTGCTACACCCCGCGCAAAAGCAAAGTCTCCAGTCCCGCCCACTACGGCGATCTCCTCCCTGTAGCCACGCTCCGCGCCTTAACCTCTAAGCTAAGACTGCCAGAATATTCCGGCGAGTTCAACATGAGATAAATTATATTAAAATTAGCGAAAGTCGAATATTCTTCAACCGGAACTAAAACAGCAAAGCTTTCTGCCTTCCCAATGACCCGAGGCTTGTTCTGCACACTGTCGGTGAGCTTATGGTGGAAGATGACCGCACTGCTCTCTTTCAATGCTTTGAGTTCTGAACTTTGGCTGCAGAGAGGGTGGAGGTGGAGGGTTAGTGTAATCCACGGAGCTGAATAATTCTTGTTTGGTTTCTTTTGTGGAGTTGGGTGGAGAAAGGATAGGAGGAGAACAGTTAGGATTGCTGCTGAGATTGATATGAAGAAGATGATTTTTCGAAGCATTTTGTTCTGCTTGAAATATTTTGGTTTCTGCGGTTGGCCTTATAAGAAGAAGTTAAAGGAGTGAGCTTTTTTCCTTAAACCAGCTCCATTTGCTTTAATTTGTATGGTGATTGGTGAACTAAACCTCATTACAGTTTGGATATATTTTTTTTTCAAGCTGAAAATAGTCAGAGCTGTTGCAGGAGTCTTAAAAATATATAAAAAAGGGTTAAGCATTTTAGGGATTGATTGTGAGAACATATGAATTGATGACTCTGTGATGCTGCCTACATAACATGATTCTAGATGTAGATAAATATATCCAGAGCAAAATAAAAATGAAATATACATAATAATGAGTTTTAGGGCCTATTTGGGGCAATTTCTTTTGTGGTTTTGTTTTTATGTGGAAATCGCAATATCGTCTGGTTACTATTTTACGTTGTTTTTCGAAAATTTCTACGATAAAAAAAAAACTACTTTATAGAATCATAATAGTTAAGTTATTTTTCACGATAATTTTATAATCAACTTATAAAAGTAACCGCCATCCCAAATTGGGTCTTAATCTTTCTGATAAAATGTAGTTGATGATATTGTCAACAAAAAACAATCATATAGAGGAGTGCAATGCCTAGATGATTCCTTTGTCATTAACACAAAACCTTTGGGTGTTGAACAATAAGATGGTTGTAAAATTCATTCAAAAAATAAGTAGAGAGAAAACTAAATAAAAAAGATGTTTATTTAATAATATTATATAACAATTTATGGGGCTCTAAAATATCTCATGAGCTTGTTATGTCGTTCAATTCATTTCCTTCTCTCTTTTAGATATTTAGGAAAAGTGTGATAAACATTATGAAAATAAACCTAAACTCTTAAACAACGATGAGCTTTTTGTATAACAGTTGGAGTAATATTATAATAGCTAAAAATTAAGCATGTTGTATAGGACAACTACACGGATGGATAATCTAATGGGAAATTACACCAATGAGACAAAATAATGCAAGAGTTAATTTTCCCCGGGTTGTTCTGGACATGCAAGTTGGCTCGAGATTACCTATTTTGGTTACTTTGGGTCAGCCCATTTGGATGACCTAGGTCAATCTATAGGTTGAACTGACCATGGTAGATACATAGTGTCAGGGGTTATCCAATGCAATTATTAGCTTGGGCCAATTTGGTCTAGGTTTTAAAATCATTACATGAAAATCATCAAATGCTGACAAATTTTTCGGTGGCTGTGGGACTACCAAAAATTCTAGCAATTATGGCTGCAGATTAATTGCTTGGATTCGTCAGAAATTATCGGTGGTCATACCACAGGTAATGCCACTAGAAATCTCTAGTGGCCCAGCCATCAAATATAACCAGCTATCAAACCACCTGAAATTACCAATGGTGAAATCGCAAATATAACTGTCAAAAATCTCTGGTCGCTATTTTGTGGAAGTCGCCGCTCTGACCGCCACCACAATAAAAATAAAAAACCACTAGAAAGTTAATAGAAAACATTTCTGGTGGAAAAATGCTTACCAATTGTGTTTCCTCGATAGCTTATATTGGTGAAAAAAATCCACTGGAAAATCGTTGGAACCCTAAAATTTTACCAGAAAAGTGGTTATTTTCGCCGGAGAAATCTGACAGTAATAGACAAATTTTCTGTAGTAAATGACTCATGAGGAACAACTTTTGGCCACTTGGGTCAAGCCATGTGGCTAACCTAAGTGGGCTTATGGGCTATGTCACATAGGGTTGGCTCTTAGGGACCCATTGAGCAGAAAGGCGAAGCTTATTCCCTACTTGAAACCATGCAAACTTTTGAATTCGTTTTCAATTTGCATATGATGAAGACTATATTAGGAGTTACAAATGAGTTATCTCAAGTACTACAAAAAAAGGATCAAGACATTATAAATGCCATGACTTTGGTCAAAGTTTCTAAACAAAGACTTCAAAATATGAGAAATGATGGGTGGGAAATTTTTTTTAAGCAACTTGGATTATTTTGTGAGAAGAATAACATAAATATTCCAAACATGACTGATATATTTATACTGCGAGGAAGATCAAGGTGTCGTACTGAAAGTATAACAAACAGACATCATTATCAAATCGAATTATTTTACACTGTTATAGATATGCAACTTTAAGAGCTCAACAACAGATTTGATGAAATTAATACTGAATTACTTATGTGTGTGGCATGTTTGAATCTGTGTCAAACATTTTTAGCTTTTGATAAAGAACGATTGCTACGTCTTGCCAAATTTTATCTCTCGGACTTTTTAGAAATGGATCTCATTATACTAGACAATCAAATTCAGAATTTCATTGTTGATATGAAATCGAATGATGCATTTATGAGTTTAAAAGGACTTGGAGAACTTGCTCAAAAAATGTTGGAGACTAGAAAGAATGAAATTTATCCTTTAGTGTTCTTACTTATAAAGCTTGCTCTGACATTACCAATTGCTACAGCAACAGTTGAACGAGCATTTTCAGCAATGAATATTATAAATAATCATTTACGCAATCGTATGGGGGACTCTTGGATGAATGACTGTTTACTTACTTATATTGAAAATGATATATTTAATAGTATTGACAACAGCTTGATTGTGTAACAATTTCAAAAACTGAAGACTCGATGGAAAAAATTATAAATGATAGTTAAGAAGAATCTCAAGAATTATTGTTCTCAATCGTAAGTTTTTTTTTTTGTTTATCATATGTTTTATCTTTTTTCTAATGTTTTATCTTTTTTTTAATGAATCAAATGATTAAAAAAAAAATTTAAAACTGCCCCGCCCATGTCGATCCCAAGCCCGGATGAAAAAGGTTGAGGGTTTTTTTTACTTCAATGATTTATGCCCCCACTTGAGAAAAATCCTGGCTCCGCCCCTACATACGGGAGTACATTATGAAAATATCTTACAAAATTAAGAGGATTTGTGCCCCCACTTGAGAAAAATCCTGGCTCCGCCCCTGTGTCATGGTATAGATTTGAGATAACAAAGGATGAAGTTGGCAGTTATTGTAATAGTCTATATTTTAATTTAGATAAATAAAATTTTTTAAGAGTCATTGTAAGTTTAAATTACAAATTATCATCTCCATAACATATATATTATAATAATTTAATTGCAATTTTTTTTAATTATTTTTTGGCATTAGTAAAAATTTTTAAGAAATTGATACATATCGGTACAAGTGAGGATTTTGGGACCATAAAGTGTCCATTTTACAAACCTATTTCACCAAAAATTTTAAACAAAATGGGCTATTTTTATAGAAATTTTTCTATAACGTACATTTAAAGCCCCAAAAAAATTTATATGAATTTTATACTAAATATGGATTAAATTTTAGTATTATATTATTAATTTTAATTGTCCAAATAAATAAATTAGAGATGACCAGGAGAATCATAGACATATATTTTCAAACATTAATAAGATTGATAATTAATTACATTTTTGAACAATCACATGAATATTCTTATTAATTATTAGTAAGTGGGAAATTATGAGGTGCTTTTAAACAGTAAATTTTAATGCTATAAGTAGCATGAATTGAGAGCGATTAAATGCACATATCAGATATAATCGATTGAAGGGTGGGGGAAGCAGCAGAAAATAAATTTTAGGGAGTAGTTCAATTTTTAAAAAAACAAATCAGTGTATAATTATATTTTTTCTAACTATTTTACTTATTAAAATTTTAAATACATATCGAGAGTAATTTGAAAATCATTAAATTGTACCCACCAATAAAAATTTCTGGCTCCGCCCCTGCTTTCACGAGAATATTAAATAAAATATCCCCTAAAGATTCAGCACAATAAATCATATTAATGCAATTTTTATTTCATTATATAATTAATAGCATATATTTTATTAAATTAGTGCATTTATTATTTTCTTTGAAACACTTGCCACAAATAACCTACCACTATTATATATAATCCTTCTCTAGAGCTGAATCCAATACAATTCACTTTCATCATCTTCAACTTCTATCAAATACTCTCTTAAATTTCATTTAAAATAGCTTTCTTGCTACTTTCTAAAATGACTTTTTAAAACAAAAAATTTTTTGTACTAAAAAACTGCTTCAAAAAGCAGTCAAAAAACTAACAGAAACGGAACCTTAGTTTTTATTCGTAAATCATCATGATCAACAATTCTACTTATAATAAATTGTTTCGTGGTGACAAAGGCTTTGTTTGGGATAGCTTTCTTAATGCTTCTTAAAGCAATATTTTTGTATAAAAATTAATTTTTTTGTACTAAAAAAACTACTTAAAAAAAGCATTAAGAAAACCGTCCCAAACGAAACCAAAGTCTTAACAAACCCAGGCTTATGCACTCAGTGCAGAACTTGAAGACGTTCCACTCCATCACAACATTGAAGCTGAACATAACAAATCAAAATGGTAAATAAAACCTTAGTGCAATTAAAGTAAAATTAGAAATAAAATATTGACGCATTGAGTAGCCATTACAATTTCTCGAAGCAGCTAATCGCCAAACTAATTAGGCGGCTTAACCTTCATAATTACAGTCCTAACCCTTCCATTCTTCTCGATTCCTACCCTGCGCTGAAATTCAACGCCCCCAGCCGGGAATTCTCCACCTAAACCCTTTTCATGGTAGGTGAAGAGTCCGCGTAAACTGTAAGAGAGAGAGAAGACGAGGAGGAAGGGTTTGGAATTCTTCATCCAACTGCATAGAGGTTTTTATTTCCATTTTGATTTGTTATGTTCAGTTTCAATGTTGTGATGGCGTGGAACGTATTCAAGTTCTGCACTTTGTTGCGTGGGCTTGGGTCGGTTATGATTTTGCTGGTGCTGTCCGTAGTCGGCTTCACTTACTACGCCGTCGTCGTCACCAACTACTGGCCTGCTGTGCTCGCCGGCGGTGCCAATTCCTACTCTTCCGTTGGGATACTCATCCTCTTTCATATACTGGTATGCTCATGCCTTCACCCTTTACTGAATAGCTTGCTCATGAACTGGATTGCTCGACTTCAGGTTTTGTTTGATGGTTTTACCTTGTCGTGAGATTAAGCTCAGGAAATTGTGGTTTGGTACCCTTTCTCTCTCTTTCTCTCCCCTTTACTTTCATAATTTGGTCTTCTGTTTTGAAATTATAGTCTCTCAGTTGTATATGATGTGCTTTCATTTAGGTGATCTTCTATTTTCTTTTATTGACATAGCTGCTAATTTCGTTATTGTTTTATGGATCTTACAGCCCTTGCATGAATTTTGCGGTGTAAATGTGATGGAAATTTGATTTTGTGTAATTACTTTTGTTTTGCAGCTGGTGATGCTTTTATGGAGTTACTTCTCAGCGGTCCTTACCGATCCTGGTAGTGTCCCCCCTAATTGGAGGGCCGATGTGGATGAGGAAAGTGGAGATCCTCATGTTTTGACCGGCTTAGAGTTAAGCACGCCGATGCTTAACTTGCAGCACACTGCAAGTCTTGTGGGTTCAGGGATTCAGAAGATCCGATACTGTAAGAAGTGCAACCACTTGAAGCCCCCACGCTGCCATCATTGTTCTGCTTGTGAGCTCTTTATTATTATTATTATTATTTTACAATCTTTTTTCTATGTCAATTGTTACCCTCAGTATGAACCCTACCTCCCATCACCATCCTAAACTTTTTATCCTGTTGTTGATGCATGTTTTCACTTATATAGGTGGAAGATGCATATTGAAAATGGACCATCATTGTGTGTGGGTCGTAAATTGTGTTGGCGCTTTGAATTATAAATTTTTTCTTCTTTTTCTGGTAAGTTGAGTTGAGTTGATTGATATATTCTTGTTATTGGTAGCATTCATTTTTTCTCCAGTTCATGAGCGTTCTGATACGAAAATGTTATGTTCTAACTAATTCCATAATTTACTTCAACATTTGCTCTCTTAATAAAGAAAACTAGATTTTGGTGCTGCTGTGTTTCTTATAGCAAGTATGGATAAAATCAATGTTGGCAGAATTGGTTTTTACCAACGGTCGGATGTCAAAACTCAGTTATGACATTAGAAAGAAACTAGAAGTTATCAACAGGTAGAACTTAGAAGTATATATGTAATCTTATGTCGTATAGGGGCATCTAACCTTATCACTCAATGCTTTATCTTTGTGATTCAAGCAATTTCTTTGGATTGAATGGATTGTGAAAGGATTATAAATTAAATCAGGAAGTGGTCATGCATTAAAATCTAGTTTCCAAAGGGACATATAGTCATGATGAGTTCCCATGATGGCCTTATGGAGAGCATATATACATGGAAACAACAGTGAGGATCAATTCCTGGTAATGGATGTATTCATTCTTCAAAATTACTTTTGCTATGGTATTAATCCAGAAAACTGGACCTGTTAATTAGTATACTCCCTTTGTTCTTGAAAGCTGAATCTAATATGAGCTATTAGTTGTTTTGAGGCAGATAACAATCACATATTAGCTAAGTTTCAATAGATTGTTTATGCAAAACCCTTAGTATGAAGCAATTAAATGACATGCTTGTTGTAGTTGGAGGTCCAGCATACAAACAATATTATTTGGCATGCTTCATAAAACTATTAATGGCAACTCCATCAAGCTCAAAGATCGAATGGAGGTTTATGGAAGAACTTCTAGAATGAAATTTATGTATAGTTTATCAGAATCAATACCACCAAAGGGTTCCATGAATAGTATCTTCAGTCTGAAGACAGGATTGAATATCAAAATTATGACAACGGAGAAAATGAATATTTGTACTCTTGATTTTTGGACCTAAAATCCCTGCATGCTTGGCTTCAATCATTATAATCTTTTATTTGTTCACTACTATTATGATCATTAGTGATACGTCATGAAAAATCGCCTTGAGCAGGCACGAATCTCAAAGCATATCTGAGTTGACAACTTCCAAAATTAAATTCAGGATCATCTGAACTCCAATTTCAACCAAATTACAGTCAAATTGAACATCTGGAGGAGACGAACCCAACAACACAAATATTGGTCCAATCCAAGCAGAAATGGGTCCACATCAAGGGACTGAAGAATATTTGGAATATTTAAAACATTAATTAATGATTGGATGATATCTAAATATAGCATGCTTATAGTTGAATCGAGCAGTTTCGCCCAGCATCCTAACAAGCACGAAGTGGCTTTTTCTTTGAAGAAACTTGCTTATCTAGTGAAGACATATAAAAAAAGAATGCGACAAAAGGTCTTGGAGCAAGAAGAGAAGAAAGAAAAGTTTCCTAGTGAAGTAATAACAACTAGCCTAGCCTCGGCTCAACGAGATGAATCCAATGAGCCCAATATCGCTTAGTTTTGATATAATTAGGGCACATAAATGCTTGGAAAATACTCCATGATCGTGGGAATTTGTATGGGAAGTCCGATAGAACACTCAGAATTTTCCCTGGATGTTCTTCATATTTATGGAGCATGTCACTCTTAAAATTTATAAATAAACTTGCACTTTCCTTATAAGGACTTTTGGAAGGGGCTTAGACTCTTGGAGGAGGCTTGGACCATGAGCTAGAGGCTCAAGAGAGCTATGAGTCTTGAAGAACCCTAGAGCTCCACCTTGGAACCATAGCCGGCAAATCCTCGCCGTTCGGCCACCGCTGTTGAACCTCCGCCAAGCCAACACTGTCAGGTCTACCTCTAACCACCGTTGCCTGGTGATTATGGTCCCTCCGATCATTGTCGCTTGCGACTACAGTCCCTCCGACCTCCTCGCCTACCGACTACGATCCCTCCTATCACTGTAGACCGATGACTACGGTTCCTCTGATCACCGTAACTAGCCGATTGAGATTCCTTTGACCATCATCGCCCGCCGACTACGGTCCCTTCGACCACCGTCACTCATCGACTATGATCCCTTCGACCACTGTAGACCCCAACTATGTTCCTTCTGACCACTGTTGCTCGCCGACTACGGTTCTTACGACCACAATTGCCCGTCAATTACGGTCCCTCTGACTATCATTTCCAGTTGATTATTGTCCTTCTGAACACAGTTGCCTGCCGACTAAGGTCCTGTTAGACCGGTCCAGTGGACCGGTCCAGCTGGTCCACGCGGGACTGGCCCAGACACGGAACGACGAAAGCTTTCGCCTTGGCGGAGGCTGCGCGAGACGCGCGCCTTGCGGGACTGTTTTTGGAAGGAAAATTGAATGAATTTTAGGAGGGAAATTGAATGTAGGGAATGTTTAGGGAATTTCTTTTGATTTGCATGCATTAAATAGTTGATTTTTCTAGGGTTTGGGTATCTTGAATTAGGCTGAAATTTGAGATCTCCTAGATTTAGGTTTTCTTTGGGCTCTTGGCGTTGCCAGAGATTTGGGAGAGATCGATCCTCCTCTCGAATTGAGGATCAATTGTATCTTTTCTATTTTGTTGCATCTCCTAGTAGAATACAAGTTTATACTTGCGTTTTTCTCTCAGTTTTCCCTAAACTGTGCTGATTTCCTGCTGTCAATAGCAGAATTTTGCTGTTTTCCTTATACAAACTGCAGTTTCTCTGCTGTTTGCTTACCGATTGTGGTTAGGATCGCTTGCGAACTCAAGTATTACCTTAGGGTTACTTGCGAACTCAAGTATTTCCTATCAGGTCCCTCTGACCACCGTTTCCCACCGACTACAATCACTCTAACCACCGCCATCTGTCGACTACGGTCTATCTAACTCTCGTCGGAGGGATCATAATCTGGCCATTGTTGTTCGCCGACCATGGTATCTTCGACCACCGTCGCCCGCTGACCACGGTCTCTCCGTCCACTGTCGCCCACCAACTATAGTCCCTCCTATCACCGTCACCCGCCAACCATGGTCCCTCTGACCACTGTCACCCGCCTACTACGGTCACTCCGACCACCTTCACTCGCCGATTATGGTCCCTCTGACCACCGTCACCCGCAGACTATGATCCTTCCAACCTCCTTTGTCCGCTTGACTACGGTCCCTCCGATTCCTTCGGCCGCCTGACTACGGTCCCTTTGATCTCCTTTGGCCGCCTGACAACGGTCCTTTCGACCTTTGTTGCCTGACTACGGTCCCTCCATCCTCCTTTGGCCGCTTGACAACGGTCCTTTCGACCTCCGTCGCCCGACTACGGTCCTACTGGTCAAATGAACAGGTCAACACTCTCTTAAGTACTGCTCTCATGTCATTGGATTCTTCCAACTCTAACTATGAAATGTATCTTATGCTATGTATATTTATTACATTTAGCCAATGTCTTTCCCAAGGAAGAGCTTCATTTGTAAACAAAGACAAACACTAGTGGATTCATTTCAACTAGGCAAGACCCCGTGATTTTTTCCCCTTTTAAGAAATTTTCAAGTAAAAATTCTGGTGTCGTTTATGATTATTGTACCCCTCTCTCTTATATTTATGTGTGTTGGATCTTCGTTCAAAGCTAAGATGTTAAGGACTTTATTTCTCTACCGCCTATGATGCACTGACACTTCTGCTCAAAGGAGAATTTAGCCAGGAAGGGAGTAGGCAAAATAGATCTACTTATTAGACATCTTGGTTCAATCCATAGCTAGAAGTTGTGATAGTGTCATGGCTTCAAGGGGAATCTTTGCATTTCTGTTTGAATTTGATGAAGATAATAGTTTTAAGAGATGAAAATTTGAAAAATAATGGGTATGCATAGGTGGGCTACTGAAGTAGGGATTTAGGATTAATTGCTCTGGATGGAATTATTAGTGCATGTGTGCAAAAAAATGCATCTTAGATGATACGCTACATTATATATGGGATCATCAGAATTAATAGCTTTCCTATTCTTCTATCTTCAAGTTGTGTATTTTTCTTATACGTCATGCTAGTGTACCCTTGCATTCTGATCTTATTGTTAAAATGTATGTAACGTGACTTATTCTTTTCCAATCATGCAGTTTTACACATTCCTCGAGACTTCTCTTGTTACAATAATATTATTGTCCAATTTCATTGCCTTCTTTAATGAAGGAGAGATCCCTGCTTCACCAGAATCTCTAGCGACAACTTTTCTCACATTTGGTGAGCATAAACCAACTTTGTGATTGCCTTATTGAGATGATTGTGATGTTTCCTCTTTTCTTAATTACTATATGTCTCCCTTTTCCCAGTGCTTAATTTGGCATTCGCTTTGAGTGTTCTTGGCCTCCTAGTAATGCATTTGTCATTGGTGGCAGCCAATATTACAACAATTGAGGCAAGTGGTTGAAACTTACCTTCCTTATTTCATTGAAATTTGATCGAATTCTTGTCAGTTCTAGCCTTTCTCTTACCTCAGGCATATGAGATGAAAACTACTCCTAAATGGAGGTATGATCTTGGACGAAGAAAGAATTTTGAGCAGGTTGTACTCCCTTTCTTACACTCTTAAGCTATTTTTTATTTATGAAAGTTAATTGGTAAATATTTTTTTATTTAGGAAAGCTATTTTTTTTTTTTAAACCGGAAGAGAAATAAAAGAGAACTTGTTTTCACCTATGTTGCACCGATACGGATATGGCAACACTGATACGACACGATACGGATACGATACACGTCAATTCTTAAAAGTACATATGTGTCATTATAATTTATAAATCATACATAAAAATTAAGCAAGCAATCAAAGCATAATATTTGAAATTACAAAAAAAAAAAAAGGAAAGCAACATCATTTGTAGCATTGTAGCTTACAATATCAAAATGAAGGTAAGCATTAAATGTCTAGTACAACAACAAAAGCATAAACATAAATTGTCCAACACATAAAGTTTCACCTATTCAATAGAAGGAATGATAAGATTAGCTTCTTCATTGGTTTGCCTTTGAACTTCTATATCACCTTCAATAAATATCATAGCTTCTAATTCATGCTCATCTAGTAAAAGATTAGCAATTTCTAATATTCTCATATCATCAGGAGACTCAAATCCAGAGTCTTTTTTTGGGAATTTTTTTTGTTTTTCAACGGACACGCACGCGTGTCCTTTTGAAATTAAATAGTATTGGTGGATCGGATACAGCACGCCTTCATAAATAGGTGTATCGGTGCAGCATAGGTTTTCAGAAAGAATACAGAATTTTCTTTTGTTATCCATTTTCTGCCTCTGCTGTCTTTTGACTAGAATGTTTGCCTTGTTTTGTTTTTGTTGTGGTGTGACTGGTGTCTTGTGTGTACCAGGTGTTTGGAATGGACAAGCGGTATTGGTTGATCCCAGCATATACAGAAGAGGATTTGAAAAGGCTACAAACTCTGCATGGTCTGGACTAGCCATCCAAGCCAGAGTTAGATTCTCAGCATTATTGATAAGCAGGTTTTACATACAATGGGCCTTGAACACCCTTACCCATACAGATACAAATATCTCTAACCCTCATCTTTCATGTTCAAGTTTCCTTCTTTCTGTTCGACGATTTTTTCTCTTGGTCTGCTATGCTTGTTGGGGTGGAGAGGCTGACAGAATTGGCAAATACACAGACAAAAGGGCTTTCGAGATGTGGACTGACTGTTGGCAAAAAGCTTAGAAAGGTGGCAATGAAGATCTTCTTGGCATTATTTGCTGGTATAATATTGTGTAGTGCATCCATTATTACTATTATTTTATTTAATATTTCCATGATCTATACAGAAAGAAAATCTGTAGTTTTTTTTTAGTTGGAATGAGCTCAATAGATGGTTTGTTCAGCTTATGAATTTTATTGAAACTCTTATAGCAGTATATAGCTGTTGTCAAAGTTTTATTAGAATCTTAGTTGGTTTCAACTTGAAGAAGTGCCATTGACCTGTATTTCACCTGAGAGACCATATGAAAAATGGGCGAGCCTGAGTTCTGCCAGATTAGATCTGGCCTATACCAAATGGTCCCGAATTGAACTATTTGCATATTTAATGTTGGGCTTTATTATAAAATCATTCGGGCATTCAAACATATAAAAAATAACTTATGATCAAGGTGATCATTATGAGTCGTCTAATAAAATTTTTGAAATTTGGCTATATTTTTAAAGATTGTCACTCTTAAAAATTATGAATAAAACTTGCTAACTTTTGTCATCGAATTTTCATCACTCAATCTTTGTCGTTGGACCTATGTTCAACAAGTTGTTTCGTTGGATTGTTGCTATCAATGTTGAAACACCATCGTCGGACTTTTTCCATCAGACTAGTGTTGCTCGAATGCCGCCATCAAACAATTGTCGTCCAACCATCCACATCAGATTATCACCCAACTAACATCATTGGGTCATTATTACTTCACCATTACTATTGGACTACCATTCCCCAACCAACATCTTACAATTATCATTGCCTAATTATTATTACTAGATTATGATCATTCGACCACAACTATCTGTGAACTACGGTCTCTCAACCATCATTGCTGTACCACAAACTCCAAACCATAGTCACTCAATTATGATAACTCGACCATCATTGCTCAATTACTATATCCTAACCATCATCGCCTATATGCATTTCTTGATCAATGTCATCAAATTATTGTTGCCCAAGTAAGACCTCTCGACCATCATAATTAAGCTAGTGCCACCCAATTACGATCTCCATCTATACATCTCGTAACTTTGATCTTTCAATAGTTATTGCCCGACTACAATCCCCAGGCCAACATCACCTAAGCATGGTTTCATGGACTATGTCTCTTGATTACAGTATCCTGACCATCGTCACCCCACTACAGTCTCCTAATCAATATCGTCTGATTATAGTCTCCCAACCATCATAAAATGACTATGATCTCCTGGCCATTGTCATCCGATTGTGGTTTATCGACCACCATATCCAGAATATCATTGTCCAATTGTGGTAACTCAACTACTGTTGTTCGACTATAGTATCCCAATCATCATCGTCTAACAATAATTTTGTGATCAATATTGCCAAATTACAGTCTTTTAACCACCATTATTCAATATGATCTCTCAATCAGTGCCTCCTTACTACAATCTCCTAACCGCTATCACTAGACTACTATTATCTGACTAAGATCTTATGGCCAACATCGTCTGACTATGATCTTTTGAACATCATCACTTGACTATGTTTGTATGTCCATTATTAGCTAATTAAGGTCTCCTAATCACTATAGTCCGACTACAATCTCCCCACTGCCATCACCTGACCATCATCACTCGATTAAGATCTCTCTAACACATAGCCGACTACGATCTCCTGACCACCATTATAAGATTACGATTTGATTACCACTTATGACCACCATTGCCCGATTATTATTACCCAATTATGGTCTTCCAACTACCATCATCCAATCACCATCACCTGTCAACAATTTCATGATTATCATCACCCAACTATAACCTCTCGACTACTATCGCTCAACTATGATTTTTTGACCATTGTCACTCGACTATATTTTGTTGATTGCTACTGCCTAACTATCATCTGCCAACTACCATCACTTAACTATGACCTCCTAACCACTGTTACTTGACTATTATCTCTCGATTACAATCTCTTGACCCCTATCGCGCAATTATAATCTTTTGTTCATCATTGTCTTACTATTGTGTTGTGCCAACTTTATTGTCAACAATGTCAATGCACATCATTGTCTATAAGGTTGATACACTCCGTCGCTTAGAAATTAATGCATGACATCAACACTACAAATGATGCCTACTAACTTTATCACCTATTATTGATGCATGTCATAGCAAATTAATCTGATACCAACTTCCGAAATGAACTTTGACTCATAATATCAACACTAAGTTTATTCTTAAATTTTTTGTTCTAATATTCTCTCCTTAAGGCAGAATGTCCAAATGGATTATCAACAATTGCTCAAAGAAAACTTTAATGTCTCAAGGACCATCCAGTTTCCATGGAATCCAACCTCAATTATTCATGTCTACTACATTGTATCAATACTTTCTCAAATTGAAGGGAAGAGTATCATTTGTAACCTGCAACAGAAACTAGAGAACATTTTTATTAGGTTAGGCCCCATTTTTATTTTCTTAAAAATTTAGGTGTCTATTGCAACCCTGCATTTATATGTGTATATGTCAGATCTTTATACAAAATTAAGGTATTAGATACTTTATCTTTGTCTTCATAAATGTTTGAGCACATAACCATTTGGTGCCATCTATGAGAATTAACCATTGGCACTCATCTTCATTGTCCAACAAGAATAAAACTAATAACAAATTTTCAATTCTCTAGACACTACAAACTATCAAAAGACTTTTACAACCTCCTCAGCTAGTCTTGAACTGCTTGAGGCTCTACTGCACCCTAAAAATGAGAAGACTTCAACCTCAAAAAAAAAAAAAAAAAAAAAAAAAAAATTGCAAGTGTCTATCGATTTCATCTTCTCTCACTTCGATCATTCTATTATGGGCTTCTCCCATCAGCTAGGCTACTAGACTAGCAAATTGCATCATAGAGTCAGAAGTCATTGCCACCACAACACTTTGTATAATTGCAGCTTGGCTGAAACTATGTCCATGAGTTGCTTCTTAATCTTTGGGATTCATGACTCCATAACACTTCTATCTATTACATATATGAAAAGCTCAGAGTGATACACCTAAGAATAAGGACTTTCATAAAATAATCTTAATCTACTCTAATTTCACTTTCACTTAACTACTTATCATTCATACGGCTTTGATTATGATCCAATTATTCAAAATCATTGCGCTGATGCCGCCCTAACATGATCCAAGGTCTAAGGAAAAAAGTAAACAACCTATGACTCAACCTCAATTTTCATATACATCAAAGCCACTAAACATCCAAAATTATATAGAAATAAAAGATATACAATATCAGAATTCACATTTTCTTCAAAAATAATCATTTAAAATAGTTTAGAATACTTATAAAACATCAAAATGCATAAAAGAAAATTGGACTACTAAAAGAATACATCTAGGAACTATCTTCTAACGAATTCAAACCTTATAAACTTTTTCTCAATCAGACTTGCCATTTTTCTTGAAATAACATGTAATTTATAGAGTGAGCAACTACTTATTCAGCAAGCTATTCCAAATCCTATCAAAGTAATCAAAATCCACATTTGTATTTAAAATATACAAAATAATAATAAAGGATTTTACAATTTACTCTTGTAGCATTTATAGATGTAACAAAGAATAACTTTAGCTTTCATAAAACATTAATATTGGATTTACTTATATGTTTAACTTTATCAACATGATGACATATACATTACTTAAATTTGGACATGCAATCGAAATATGAATTTGAGCATAAGTTGGGCATTACTTGAGCTTTCTAGTTAATATCAAAAACATCAACTTAAATATTAACTTAGACATGAAAAAGAGTATCAACATACATTACTTGATAAGCTCGCAATGCAACCTATGATGAAAAATGATATGCATATGCCCGATGTTTGTTTATAGTCCCACTTTCATGTTACCTCTACTTGGTGTCACACCTATACAAGACAAATGGAGATATGCCTGATTCTCATTATAACTATACTTTCACTTATAACTCCATTTGTCAGCTCACATATGTACAAGATAGATGGAGAAAACATAAACATATACATGTAAGGGCCCTTGTAACTAAACTTATAGTGTACTTTAACATCTCACACACTCATCACATCCGCCATATGAACATGAAAATATTCACATTTTAACATGCATGCTTGCCATTTAATTGATTTCATGAATGCATAAGAGTGATATATGCACGATTATACTAGTAATATATGTGGGGTAAAACATACAAACATTCAATAGAATACTTTTAAACAATCATTCTTATGGAATTCTTATAATCTCATTTCGAGTCTTTTATCATTATGGGTCTTATCTAATATTTTTTTATAAAAATTAAAATAAATAATAAAACATGTGAAAACCCACACATTTAAGCCAGCCTTCAAGAATTTGTGTTCTTATGATCAAAATGCTCATAATTACTCATTTTATAATATATCAGAAATTACATTGTAAAATTTTTCTCAAACTTTATAAAATCATTTAAAACTCCATAACTATCCATACCAATGTCAAAATTGAAATAAAAATAGGGCATTTGGAACCTACCTTGGCACATATAACTACTGTAACTTGCATAGCTAACGAATTCCACTTGGCCTCCAAAATCCCCTCTTTTCTTGTCCTTTTCTGGCTCTCTTTCGATCTTTCTTGACTAGGGGTTTACAGAATGGTGAGGGCCTAATGGTTTTAGATATTTATATAAAGAACTTTATTTTTGACCAAACGCCATGGCGCCACTTCCCACAGTACTGCAGCGCTCTACCAAAATCTTCCAAATACTTGAGGGAGAGAGCATAGCGCCGCAACACCCATTTTCCAGCGCCACATCGCTTCCTAGAAAATAACCCCCATGCATAGAGGATAGCACTGCAACACTCTCATGAAAATTTCTATACTTGTATTGCTCACCTTTCTGATTCTACTACAGAGTCATTGGACTTCATTAAACATGAGACAACTTAAAAGCTACAAATATGTAACATATTACAAAAATAATCATATAGTTCTTACCATGTTGGGCTTAGATGAACTTGATTTTGTAGCACGAGATATTACATCTAATCCTAACCAATCCCTCTTTTCTTGCTCGTTAAAGATTCACCAACTTCAATGAAGAAGGACCTCAAGGGGCTTCAACGACTAAAAAGATAAGGAAACTTAGAAGCAAGACATAGAAAAGAAAATCAAAGGATAACTATTTAGAAAGGCAAAAGGGGTTCAAACACACTCACTAAA